GATCAAGATTTTGACAGAAAGACACTTCCCAGGCTTATCATTTCCAAAAGATTTTGATGTTACCTTGCAGCATTTTAGGACAGAGCCCAAACACCCTCTTCCCACCCAGCCCCTGATTTAGGAAAGCAAGGCAAAATGGAAAATGATGTGATACTGCAAATAACAACTGACACATACTGTTCCACTCCAGTCAAGGAAGGCTTTAAGCATTAGAGGTGTCCTTCTATTATAGATGGATTACATATACATCAAGTTGAGCCTCAGGCCCCACCAGCAGTCACTTGGAACATACCTTTTTTAAGAAGGAAGGATTCCTATCAGAAATTCCATAGCAATCCTCTTCTACTTACAATATGGAACTACGGTGAGATGTAGAGAATAATAGTAGATCTGCATTAATTTCACTGGTTTAGGCATATGCTTATATATACTTACATATATAAAGCATATACTTTCCCATCAACTGACTGAAAAAGCCTCGAATGTTAATGTATATAACGAAAGAAGAAAAATCTAGTGCATACACACACCATATCAGAATGAAATTACTTGAGAAAGCTGTCTCTGAATCTCTTTGTTTATCCTAGTCTTTCTTGCGGTCGATGTAAGTCAAACTCAAAAGAGAAAAAAATCATAATACACATATGTGTATTTACAGGATTTCTTCAGGATTACATGATGAAGAACCTGAATAGCTTATAAACCACTGTAAAGTGGATGGGAAGACTCACAAATTTGGGTAGCCGAAGATGATACAAAGATACCACATATCACTTTTTTTGTGGCAGCAAAGCATAGCAAAAGGAAGCAGCCAAGGTGAGAGACATCTGAAAATAACTGGATTCTCCATCAGCTGATCCTTTGCTAACAAAGCAAAAGACTGTCCTGTGTCTGCTAAGCACTGCTGCTGTAAAGACACATCTCTGATCATCCCTTCCAACCCGTGACACTAATGGCTTGTGAGAGGCACGTGGAAGGTGAAGAATTATCCTAACATAAAAACAAGGACAGCAGGACTGCAGGGGAATGTGTGGTCTTGGGATCACAAAGCACTTCTGAGACCTTGGACCTTCTCTGAAGAAGGGAGGGGAGATGCTGACCCCTTCTCAGCTTAGGCATAGGTGCTGAGTGACAGAGGGCACTGATCTAACTAAAGGCAAACCCAGTACTCAACCTTGTGAAGTCACTCACCTTGCCCTAATCTCACTGAATTTATTGAATACAAATATCACTTTATATCAAAGCTACCTGGGTTTTGTTTTCATAGAAATATCATCATTATTGTCCTTTAAGTAAAAGAAACAGAAACCAAAATACCCCTAAAGAGATGGGCAGAAGTCTTCAAATATCAGTGATAAACCCCCATTCTCATGGACCCTTTTCAGCATCATTTGGAAGGTATTTTTTTAGGGATTCAGTTACATTGAAGTAACTAGTTAAGGGAATTGTAGTTACACAGAAGAAGCCAAATGCATGTGTTCCTCTGTGTACACACAATATCCACAAGGCTTATGAAATCCATTCACAGCAGAGGAAATACTCTGAACATATTTTAAGAGGCTCTGTCAGCAATCTCACAGCAAGAGTCATTCACATTTGTAAGTCATGAGGAAAAAGCTGTTTTCTATCCATGCTGTATGAACAGATTTTGTTTGGTCTACAGCTTATATTTAAGTTGCAAGTAAATAAATCATCCTGGCTGAATTAGCTGACAAATCCCATCCACGGTATTAAAAATAAATATTTGATTGAGACTGAATTAACTCTTTGCAGATTTGTGCTCCTGTTTACACATACTAGAGCTGCATGTAAAAAAACCCAACAAAACAATGCAGGATACATAGGCTATTTATCAAATTATCCAAACATGTTTACCTGAAAAAAAATAAAAAAGAAAAGGATGCAAAAGGCAAAACAAAAGTGCAAGCCAGCTTCTAGAATGATTTTGAACATGATGATATGTTGACACTCTCATTCAAAACCAGATTGGACATGAGGATGGAGGATAGTGAATCCTGACAAGTTGAAATGTAAATTAAGATGTTTTCTTCTCTTTACACATGCCTCCTAGAGAAACTGCTACAGAATAACAACTCCTGCTTTAAATGAAGTTCCCACCTTCCCTGCAGGCTTAGAGAATACAATAGCAGTGACTGGGAGCTGGAAATCAATACACAAATCATAACAAAGACATGGTCATTTTACAACATTTTAGAATGATTTTGCACCAAATGAAACCCTAGGGGAGAATATCAATAAACAACTGGAATCACACACTGCCTAAGCTGAACTGGATACTTCCAAAACTAAAGCACACACTTTCAGGGAAAAAAACCCAAACATGTTGTGCTGTAAAACTGCAGCAAATATTTCCACAAGTCCCTCCAGCCACAGCCCCCTCACTCCCTCAAGCTGCCAGGAACTGTTTCCCAAAGCTCCCAGAGGATTGTGACTCTTAAACTAAACACCACACAGCAGAATGCAAGCTGATCTCACTCTCCACACTCCCATTTTAAAGGATGGCAGAAGAAACATTAACTACTCCATCCGCAGTGGCATTTAAATGTTCCTCTCTTTCCATCATACAAAAATAGTGGAGAACAGATACCTTTTATCATTCTCCTTTCATGTTTCTATCTGTGAAAAATAAAGAGTTAAGAAGGATTTATCTTTGCTGCAGGTCCTGTTAACTGTTCGCCCTGTCATCTACAGTATAATCCATTTATCTAATATTTTCTAAACCTGTATGGAGCAATCTTTCCCAATGATCAGCAGGTGAATTAATGAGCTGCTGGTTCTTGTTACACCCTGTTCAGGACAAATAGAGGTCTTGATTGAGTGTTTGTTGTAATAAGCCTTCCCCTGCATAAGGGGCATATGCATAAAATTTGTTGAATGGAACCAAAGGGTTATATTATTGTATGATCCTTCAGACAGTCAAAACAAGGGGCACTTGTAGGCATAGCCTTGAGCAGGTTGACACAAAATACACCTTTCAGTGTACTGCAAGATTTGACACAGCTGATCAGACTGTAGATCAACGTACAGAGGTGATTTAAAAATCAATTCCTGTAAATGTGAACGTTCAACACTGAAAATCTTTTTAAAATGCTAGACCAGACAGAATACTAAACAATTTATTTTAAATGCAGCATTAATACCTTTCAAAACAACAAAGTACCTAATCAGTGCTTACAATCACAAAATTTTACAACTGAAATTCTGTTTATAAAGTAGTTTCTTTAGAGTTGCCAGTTATTTTCTGCACTAACAGACTTGCAGAAAAACCACTAACAGGACAGCAGGTTTCCAGAACAGCCTTCTAAAGTTAATTAGGGTATAGCAAACCTCATTCTACACAACTTCAGTTCTGCTAACATCACAACTGAATCACTCTGTTCATATGCTTAATCCAAGAGATCTCAAGTTATTCACATCCTCCTTGGCATCTGCAGGATTAGAATCTAAGTATGTTGTTTCCTCCCTCACCCATCCTGTCAGTAAATGTGGGATCAGAGTTCAGAACATGGCTGATTCTGTCCTCCTAATCTCCAGTAATCTTCTCAGTGACACACTATCTGCTGCAGAATATCAGGAGGCCACATCAAAGTGGAACAGTTAGTGGAAACATTAAGTTACATCCAAATTTATCAATGCAGGCTCCATATCCTGCCAAAAGGGAAAACTGAATCTATTCACACACTCAAGTAGCACTAAACATTAAAGTCAGTCTTGCCTCAAAGTCAGTAACTTCTCTCACAGTTTATTTACAAAAGGGATAGGTTGTGTAGCCCAGATGTGTTGCTACTTTACCTCCTGACAGACAATCCCAGGTAATTCATGACTCTGTGAAAACTCAGCCAGCACAATGCTGTACAAAAAGGAGGATTTGTACAAACCATCGTACAGAATTCTACACTGAAAATGTAATGGGTGGAGTTGACCAACAGAACCCTCTGCAGTGGTTCTCAGGTGTAGAGAACAGAAAAGACCATCCTCCTTCAAAGTCACTTGTGTCATCAGGCAGCACAGAGAGAAGAAAAACAGCAAGACAGTACATTTTGGCAACGTGGAATACAAATCTGGGACCAACAGTCTACAAAGGGTGTTACCAGCTGGAAAAAAAAGAAGTAACTGCCTAAGAAAGTCTGCTCACCTGCAATGACTGAGGCAGATATGAAAAGGTTCTAAAAAAATTCAACATGTGTGACAACTGAGACCTCACTCAAAAGCCAGCTATGAAAATATGTCCAACACCCACCTTCAGCCCAGTTTTTGCCTAACACAGCTGTTCTGCTGTCTGTACTGCCACAAGGCCAGATCTAATCAAACAAACAAGAAAGACTATCACTGGCTTCAGTTCTTGTTGAAACTACATTGAAGTTATACATGTTTACTGCATTGATTTTAATTCTGGGGGTTATTTTAGAATTCTCAGTGAACAGACTCATGAGCAGACATATTTATGGAAGAAAAACCTTTCCTTTCCTGAGCTTTAATTAAGAAACTGCAGGAGAGCCTCCTCTTTTGTCAAATTGGCTCTGCTCTCAAGAGGTTAGCTGCCCATTCAACACCACATGCTTCAATAAAATAAATATTTCATTATGCAAGAGTGATATTTCTCAATACCTCTCCTTGTTAGTTGTTTGTAAGACAATTATATCATACACTGCTTACACAGGAAGGGAATGCTGACATTCAGTTTTATAAAACTACAAGCTTATTTTGGGGGATGTTCTTTAAAATGCCAAATAGGACACCAGTTGTTGACAGAGCTTAGCAGGTTGTTCAAGGAAATGTAGCGTAGTAAAACTATGCTGCTTTTTAAATATTTATATCTTTTTAATCCTTGCAGCAGATAATCCTCTTTGCAGTGGGCAGGAACATGAATACCCGTGATTGTTTTTAAGTCCTTCCTTTTCAAAATTCAGGTTTGCAGTTTATTTCTGCCCTAAAATTTTACTCCAAGTATTTCTGACAATTTGCTTGAATCAATTTACCTTCCGTAAGCAAAGCGCCTGTCTTTGTGGTGGTCCCCAAATGTATCCCACAGCCTGAGAGAAACACTCACTTCATCCACAACATCTCTTGAGCGTTCAAGGACCTAGAACAGAACACACATGACATTCTATCCCTCTATCAGACAAGCACATTTCTCATTTGCCCCACAGAAGGTCTAAAGCATACTAGGTCAAAAGTCTATTCCGTTTAGCTTTTGCCAAATGTTCTATTGCATAAAACAGGCAGAATATGCATCTTCCTAAAAATAGATTTCATACAAAAATTACTTTAGAACGAGAGGTGAATCAGAGCATGGCTACAGTAGAGATCACCCATAAAATACTTGTGAGCTCATTGCTGCATCCTGACAGAGTAAGGCATGCCCATAAATAATAGTACCACCTCACAGCATGTGCTCCACATTTTGTACACCTGCAGTCCTTACCTCTTGGCAGACACGGTACTGATCAATGGCCCAGACAGTTGGTACGTGAGTTGCCAGCAGCTGATACTGAGTCAAGGTTGTATTGCAGGCTCTTGCACAGATTAGACGAGTCTTTCCCACTGCATTATCTCCAACCACCACACACTTGATAGTTTCAACGTTGGGTCTTTCGTAGTCCATGTCAATGTCCATTTATCAAAAACTGTAACAAGACAGTTAAACTTGTTTTCTACTACTGTGCAAAACCAATGCTATTTAGAATCAGAGCCTTTTACTTGCACTGCTTGAATGATGCCTGAAGAGGACAAACTCTTAAGGAAAACCTTGTAGTAAACTGTACCAAAGTAAGCTAGCCAGTCCTTTAAATACCACTCAGTTATGCAAATGCACAACTATTTTGACCGCAGTTGGTTTATGCTGTTCACATGCTATTTTCACTTTGGTTTCTGTAAACACAAGTCTGTTTGCAGAAGATAGATCTTGGTGAAACAAGGACAGCTAGCACAAACTTACCTCTTGTTAATACTTTTTATGCCAAGAAGGAAAAAAGACTGGACATCAGTGGGTCTAACCTGAAGGTTACCAGTACAAACCTGCCTTCTGCAATCTTGCCTGTTCAGGATTTGATTTAGGGCTGTCCAAACAATATTGCTAACAGCAAGTCCCACAGATGGCTTTAGTTATAAGCACACAATAAAACTGACTTGAAAGACGACTCCAGAGACTCTGTTCTATACAAACCACAGTACCCATTATACCCTGCATGTATGACACACTCTTAATTTTCCAAGGAGAAGTTTGTAAGATCATGGACTAAAAGGAAACCAACAGCCAAGCAGGAACTTGCAATTATACTTATCTATACAATGGAAAGTGAAGAGAAGAAGTTTTTTGAAGATAGTATCCCCATGGAAAGTTATTACTGAAACTTTTTACTTAAGTATTCTATAACAACATACTGAACAAATATCTGGATATGAATGCAAGATGGGAAAAATAACTATTTTAAAAGCTAAAACCTATTCATGCATGTTCACTATAGTCTGTCATTTTCATATAAAGGAATGTGACATCATAGTCTGATATATTTGATTTTGTTTTTCTAATGTCTAGTAGTCTGCTGAGCAATCTGGTCTCTGACAGGGAACTGTAATCATGGAGAGAGAAAAGAGGAAAAGCAAGTCACAAACACCTTCAAGAAGGCTTGTCTAATAATTACTTCAGCAAGGAAACCTACAGCAATTTAATGGACAAACAGAAGTCATCATCTGGAGTGATGGTTTCCTTTTTCCTGAGAAGAAAGCACTACAAATACAGAAATCAAATTTGTTTTACTACCTTTTCTAATATTTGCACCTCACTCACACATAAACATAGAATATATATGAACTGTCAGGCTGTTTAAAGTAACAGATAGAAGCTGTTTTGGTGTCCATTTTTCACTGTCAGAGGCATTATGTTCTGATTTAAGAAAAAATATGTTTAGTAATTACTAGCCAAACACCAATTTTAACTGTATTCCAGGCAACCAGCAGGAGGAGAAGAGGGCACAGATTCAAGCTCTGCCAGGGGAGGGTTAGGTTGGATATTAGGAAGAGATTTTTTACGGAGAGAGTGATCAGGCATTGGAATGTGCTGCCCAGGGAGGTGGTGGATTCACCATCCCTGGAAGGTTTTCAAGCTGAGACTGGATGTGGCACTTAGTGCCATGGTCTAATAACCACAGTAGGGTTGGATTTGATTATCTTGGAGGTCTTTTCCGACCCGGTTGATTTTATGACTATTTAAAGTGATGTAAACCAAGAAACAAAAGTCAGTGTTAGAAGTATATGTCACCCATTTAGATAAAATTTGGAACATGGACTGCATGCTGATAGCTATAATGGCTATGGTATAGTTGGGCCACATCCAGTCTCATCTTAAAAATCTCCAAGGATGGTGAATCCACCACCTCCCTGGGCAGCACATTCCAATGCCTGATCACTCTCTCTGTAAAACATCTCTTCCTAATATCTAACCTAACCCTCCCCTGGCAGAGCTTGAGTCTGTGCCCTCTTGTCCTGCTGCTGGTTGCCTGGGAGAAGAGACCAACCCCCACCTGACTCCAACCTCCTGTCAGGTAGTTGTAGAGGGTGATTCATCCCTTCATCTGAGTCGTAACCTGCATCCTGAAAGGTTATTAGTCTTGAGATAAAGCACTACAGAGACTTCCAGTTACCTGTCTGCAATCCAACCACAGCTGCTTGTTGGATGCAAGCTCCCACGAGGCTGATACCTGTGATGGCCCATGGGCTCTGTACAGTCTCTACAAGAAGACAAAGGAGAGCTAACTCCTCTTTCCTCCTCTGCATCCTTGCAAAGAATAGTCATGATATAAACAAAAGTACAAAAACAACATGGTTTTTTTTCCACATGACAAGGAATGAGATGTGTTTATATACCACAGCCTCATAGGCAGGGCCCTGAATGAGTAACAAAAAACCCAAGAGCTTTCAGCGTGCGATATAAAAAAGTTTCATTTCAAGTCTGAGAATAAACAGCAATCCCCTGACATATTATGTGGTATTAAATTACTTCATATTTTATTCATGCATGGACTAGACATCACAGATGGAATGTGGAAATGTTTACAAGGCTAGAAAACAAAATGAAAGAGCATGGCTAGCCAGTGTGTCTGGTTGGTTTTAAACTACCAAGCAGAGATGCCAAATCAATTTTTCTTCCAACCCAATATTCCATTAAAATGCTGTTACACGATTAGCCGAGGTTTTATATAACAATTTGATTTAAAAATTCTTCAAAAGTTCTTAAAGGGGAGTTCTGCAAAAACGTGCTTCAGTCAGTCACAAAATATGTATGAAGTAGAGAGTCTGGAATCTTAACAAAATTTCCAAGAGGGTAACAAAGCCAGTTTAAAACTAACAGGCAAATCTAAGTAAAAGTAACTACATAGATCAATGCAACTATCTGAGAATCGTAGAAAAGGAACACAATGAAAACAAAATTTAAAATTATTGGTTTATTCATTTTCTGATATAGTTACTAAGTTAATTAAAGCAAAGCTATCACAGGACTCGGGCACAGCATGCCTGAATGTCCTGCTGTGGATCAATGGCAATCTAATGATGATATTTTTAGCATGACTCAATACTGCACAGGACGGAGATTAAAATAAACTGGGAATAAAAACAAACCTAGAGCTCTGTGGCTATGTTAAGGAAAGTTCTTAAATCCACTTCATATATAATGCAACTCGTTTTAATATTGTTAACAACTTTTCAGAAAGGGATTAAACCAGAAATAGCTCCTGAAGATGACGGACAGGAGTGTGAACAGATATTTAAACACCTCAGATAAAACCAGATGCTAACAACAAATTGCAGTATAAACAATTAGCAAAATGAGTGGATTAAATGCTTACAAATGTAGCCTTCTGGCTAGTGGAATGATTAAAGACTGGAATATATAGAAGATCTTAAAAATACAGCCACAGTTAGTTTTTTTTTTTAAGGTAGCTTCCAGGTTAAGCTTGTGCTAAACCTATTATGTAATCATGCTGATTTAAAATGCTGAACATGTATTTACAAAACTTAAATTAAAAAAAAACCAACAACCCAACAACAATAAAACAAAGAGATTTGAGCTCTGAAAGTCTGGCAACACCTGGGAAGACCAACCGGGACTGAAACTGAACTGGTTAGGCAAGAACAAACCAGCATATATAAAGACTACAAAAAAGGCATAACATTCCAAGACCAATGAAAAACTTGCTAAAACAAACCGACAACAGCTTAGTTTACCAACAAAACAAAGTAGGGTAAAGCTAAGCGGAAAGTTACTGGAAGTGTGATGAGTCTTGAAGGGGGCAATCTCAAAAAAGCCAGAGAAAAACTGAAAGGTCATCAAAAGAGGAGCAGCAAGAAACCTATTAGAGAAAAGGCCTGAGCAAAAATGACTGTTCCCAAAAGAAAGCCATGCAAGATTCAGCTGCTTAATCCAGTCCTAAAGCAGATGAGCAGATGGATGGAAATGTAAAAAGATACCCGTAAGAATAACACAGGATCTCAAAAAACCCTCTCAGGATGTTTCTATTTTTACATTGTCACCTGTGACTGTTTGCAGATGAAGATAAGACAGAGCCAGCCAAAAACCAGGAGATGTGTGTAGAGTTGTAGATCTAACACAGAGCTGTTTAACTAATTCCCTTGATTAGCAGCTAAAAAAATATTCCAAATAAAGCTGACTTATTTCCAAAGAAGTATAAGGGTGAACCACAGCCTGCAGATGGTTATAGCTGCTGATTTCTTTCTCTGTTTCTTCACCTCAAATTGCTGTAGGGTGCTTGGTTTTTTGTTTAGTTTTTCCTCACTGCTAAATGAGCTGTTATTATTGTCATTCAAAACCAGTTGTGGTTGCCATAGCATGCAGGCTAGTCAGCCTCAGTAACTAAACACTGTCTTTCTAGAGAAACTTTCCAAAAGATCTGCAGATGAAGCACATCAGTTGATTATCTACTCCACTGGTACACGGATCAAGCACAATAGACACACACAATCTCTCTCACCCTCTGTATTGGTGTCTCAGATATATAGGTTCATTAGTACATAACAGATAACCAGATCCTAACCATGAACTTCTCTTGTTTTAAGAATGCAGTTTAATAGATTTAAAGCTATAATTGCATTTTTCTCTGCCAGAAAGAAAGTGCATAAAGATCCAAACCCAACAGCAAGTTGCCTGTGCAGGATCAGGAATCCACCCCATAGATCTCTAACCGCCTCTTTTGAAACTTCTAGCAATTTTAAATCACCACTTAACATATAAAAACATAACCAAGATTTTTTTTTAAAGAGCAGTAGCTAATTATCAACCATGTTCTTTTCAGCAAAACACCCCAAACGAATTACTAAGAGTGTCAACATTGATCAGTGATTATGGGGTGATCCTACAGGCATTTACTACTTAGCTCTGTGCTTAAACGTGTCCCATAAGACTGAGATAGTAGCCCTCAGCATGAAAACAAGCAAGCATTTTACTCAGTTCTTGTGCTGAGAGCAAACTCTTCAGATGACAGTTCAGAATGACAGCATGTAAGAACCTTGCCTGCTCAGGAGAGTTTTAATTTGAGTTAGCCCATGAAAAAAAAAATTTCAACCCATCTCAAGTAATCTGACCAAACATGCAAACCAAGA